CGGCACCAGGGTCCCTGCTGTATGCGGCGCGGAGTGAGCGGGGCCTCGACGTTGAACTCCGGGGCTTCCTCCTCCCTGTTCGGGTCGCTGTGCACCAGCGGGGTGCCGAGCGGGATGTGAGTGGTATCGGTCAGGGCCGGAGGGCGGGGTCTCGCAAAGGGCGGGGGGTCATTGAGGGAGGCTTGCAAGGCATCGGCTGCGGCACGGTCAGGGAACCGCGGGCCGGAAGGGATCGGATCAAGCCTCCCCACCGTGCTGTCGGGGTATCTCCCAGGCGGAGGCGGAGCGGCGCCGGCGGCCATTTGGGAGACCGGGAGCTCGATGTCAAGCTGGGCCATGTTAGTGATGCCATAGAGAGTGTCTATGATCACCTCGGCAATGATTCCATAGAGGCGGGCGGTGTGACTGACGGGCAGGTCGGCAATGCAATTGTAGAGGTCATCGTCGGACAGGACGGTCAGCTGAAAGAGAACCTCCTCCGCCGTAAGATCGCGTTGGGCTGCAGCCGGGGCGGGTGCTGCCGGGGCGGGTGTTGGCTGGGCCGCGGGGGCGGCAGAGGAGGCAGCAGCTTGATCCTTGGGGACCGGGGCCGGGTAGGCAGGAGGGAAGCTCGATTTCTTCTTTGGCGGCCCGGAAGGCGGAACGGTCGCCGGGGCGCTGCTGGCACCATGGGTGGTGGGCGGATGGCTTGGAGGGCTTTTAACCGGAACGGTCGGCCCCAAGAACTGCGTGCCCGTCGTCAGAGTGGGGACCGACGGGGCGGCAGCAGGCTGGGCGGCATCCAGCTGGGCCGGAGCAGCCTGACCATCACCAGGCGGGGCAGCATCAGCCGGAGCAGTCTGGGCCGGTGCTGCATCAGCAGGCTGCACAGTAGCAGCGGTTGCGGACCCAGGGCGGGCCGGGTTGCCTGCAATGCTGGCGACCACGCGGCCGGCAAGAGCGCGCAAAGGATGATCTCCACCGAGACGGGCCATGATAGAGGCAAAGGTCGAGGGAGGCAATGAGAGTGTAAAGCTCGAGGGCAGGAAGCGGCTGCGGAATAAAGCAGATGCAAAGCCACGGCATGCAAGCAGCCTGCAACTGTGCCAAGGAAGAACAGAGCGGCAAGCCGGCCTGAGGGACCACGACCGGAGGCAAAGCCGTAGGGTCGGGCCTGGGCCGGTTAAGCCATCGGAAAAATACTGAAAGGAACCCGAGCCACCGGCAAAGGGAGGCGGGCCTCTGCAGCAAACCTGGCTCCGCGGAAGCAGGGCAGAAAAATGCAGACAAGACCGGGGCGAGCCTCCTGATAGAAGGGCTGCGGGGTCTGGCGGAATGGATAGAAGAGCTGCGGCGTCTCCTATCAGAGCAGAAATTCCAATAAAAATACAAGCCAGCCGGCCAGGCCTCGAGCGGGCAGGGGCGGACGGGCTTGAGGAGGACCGTTGTCGCCTTTGGCCCCGCCGCCGGCGGCGGTAACGGGGCGGAGACGATGAGTCAGAAGCAGAAGGCATCAAGCCTTACGACGGCCTATCTTCAAACTAGCGCACCGATCTGCGGACCGGGCACCTAAGTCGTAACGGCTGCGGGCACGACTTGCCGTTGCGAGTAAGCGGAAAAAACACATTACGACCCGTCGAGAAACCTGCACATACACAAGTAGTAGCAACCACAAAACTGACTGCCGAACTGAATTCTTGCATAGTTGATTACATATACACCAACACGCAAGATGGTCGTACGAATTTTCTAGTATATACGGTTTTTTAGGGCGTTACAGTTCAGGGCTTTTCTAGCAGGGGGTGTAGTCCAGAGTTTGACAGATCCAAGAAGAGATCTCGATGTGTCTGTGCGAGGTCCATGCAGCTACAAGAAAGGCAAAGGAGGAGATTCTACAAGGGTTGTATCAGGATTCTTTATAGGATTTATCAGGGTTCCATCCAGGATTTACAGGGCTTCTGTAGGGATCGATAAGGGCTCTATAAACAAACGATTTCTAAGTGCTCTATAAGAAACCTATATGGATGTTTGGTGATTAGGTGCTTCAGACGACCGGGGGCCTCCATGTAGAAACCCCAAGTAGTAGGATACTGTCAGTTCTTACCTGAGACCTGAGAACCTTTGTCTTTGACGGGGGGTAGCATATACGGTATCCCACCCCCCTCAAAGACATAGCAAGGTTCCTTTATAATCCCACGCAGAATAAGTCCTAATCTATGGTCTCTGGGATGTAATATCCACTTACATACACACACACACAACACAGACATCCGCAAAGGCAAGCAGGCAGACAGACAGATAAACAGGTGTAGTGTGCGGAAAGGAAGGCCTTCTCTTTTGCCTGGTACTCAGCAAAAGCTAGCTTCTGGGCTTCCGACCTTACATCCAACAGGCACCAATGAGAAACAATCTGAAAAAGATGCAGCTGAGACAAGAACATATCTTCTTCCGGGATTTCATCCATCCATGGTTCCTTGTCCAGGACGATTTCCAACGGGGTGAGGTCCTGCAAGCAAACGGTCGCTGGATAAGGCATTGCACTGCTGCATCTGTGTTCGCTGCGGCCTTCTTTGTCTTGAGCGTCCCACCCATCATCTGCACCTGCAACGCAAAGCTCTGCAAAGTGCTGAAACCAGCAGCAAGTCACAGTCACAGACACGATGTCACCGTCTGCAGGGCTGACCAATGCACGCTGGCCAGCGTCGTTCTCTCGGAGCTGTCGCAAGCGCTCCTCAGCTGGGGAGAGTGACTTTGAAATCGTTTCTCTTCCTTGTGCAAGCTTGGCAGCTATGCCGTCGGTAGATTCAATTCGGAATTACTCGAATGAGGAAGCGAAGCTGTAAGTGTTCGGATACTCATCCTGGCCGGTGTCATTATCTCAAAGTCTGCCGCGAATCCTCCTCTTTGGCCGCTGCTTCTTCCATTGCTTTTTTCCTTTTGTCACGACGGCAGTTTCCGCACAATGCCTGCGCTTCAGCCAGAAGCACAGCTGGGATTGTGGCTCTTCCGGCGAGATCCACTTTTCAACTGTGATCTCGCGATCCTTGTTCGCAGGCATGCACACACGCGGCTTGCAAGGCATGACGGAGCAACTCCGATGTGAGCAGTGCGTCCTGGACCTTGAGGACGGAATCCGAATCCTCGACCTCTTGCAGAGTCGGCTCTGGAACCTCCTCCTCAATCTGCAGCTCCTTAGATATCTTTCACGTCAGCAGGCGGCGATGACAACGGGTTCACACTGCCGGCTTCCCGATGGGCCAGGCTTCGCCAAGAATTTGCCGGATGCGGCTGCACTTCTCCTTGATACCATCCTTAATTCGGAGATACCAGCTCTCTGTGAACACCCAGGCCGCTGTCCCTCAGAACTCGGCGATGATGTTCTTCTTGTCACCCTGACAAGCCTTCCATAATTCCGTGGGGTTGCAGGTTCAGGCAATGCAGTGTACAGGCCGCACAGTCATAGACCCTCATAGACCATGCGACCTTGAAGAGTTCGTTGAAGTGCAAGCGGTAGTCCGCTGACAGCGATTGCAGCAGGTGGATCTGCAGCCACATTCACATTGGTTGCATCAGGCAATGTAAGAAGCAATCGACGCTCACAAGTCGAGCAACGGTAGTATGGCCTGCAGCCGGCGGCGGCTGTTTGTAACAAGCTCGAACGGCTCGTACAAGTACTTTTGCTCTTCGGCCACAATCTTAGCAGATCAGGGTCGCAAGTATTGGGCATCGACATCTCGACTTCACTACTCGTCTCGGCTCGCTACGGAATCTGCACTTGTTCCCCCTCCCGTGTCATCCGTAGCTTTGACACCTCAAGGTCATATGTCTTACGTGGAATCTGACCAGATTGTCCAGCTGCCTCCTGAATCGTCTGGCTTCTCTCTACCTTCCTTGGCTGCTTTGGCATCTTTCTCCTCCGAATCCAGACAATCTGAAGTTAAAGCAGTCACTCCAAAACGTGCTGCCGTCAGTAGTGCACAGACCTGCCTTTTGCTTCTCTGCTTCTTTTTCTGCCTCGGCCGGTGCAGCGTGTCGAAGCAGATGTCCAGGTTGACACACTCGACACTTGTCTTCGACTTCATCTTGAGCAGTTGAGTGCATGATCCCGCCCTCCCCGACCGCTCGAGATCCACGCCGCAGCTTTTCTCTCCCTTGGTCAGGATGCACAAAAAAGCAACAAAGCACGGCGACGGGATGTCTAGTCAAGGAACGCCGCTGCTTGCTTTGCGTGTTCCTCGATCTCCGCGAGCTGCTTCGCTCGTGCATCTGCGGCCTATGAAAACACGAGGTGCCGTTTTGTAGAGAGCCCAGCTGCGAGGGCAAAAAGCAAAGCTCGCGCACTGACCGATGCCTTGGTGTTTGCTGCGGGCCACCAGTTCACTATGTACTGCTCTCGGCCTGGCTTGACAGGAGATGCAGAACAAACCCGCTACAGTACGATAGAAGTGGGGAATTTGCCTGTTGTGAAGTGGTCCTCATCCAGCACCAGATCGTTCTTGAGTTCAGGTGGGCAATTGCTGCGCAGCCTGCAAAAGAAGGCACTCTCCATGCAGGCGATGGATCTGTGGTTCCGTAGATCCAAGCGCAGTGCATTTGCAGCTCCAGCTGCTCACTCCGCCGCAGCATCCGGAGCTTCCGGGTCACGGTGCTCTCTTCCTGCAGCGCCCATCCATCAAACGACTCTGGGGTTTAGACTGGTTTTTCACCGATGCGCAGAAATGTGTCTTTCTTGACCACGGACCTGGGTTGGATTCCAGACCTCTTCCCCCCTCGGGAGGAAGGAATGAGTTTAAAAGGAATGATTCTCTGACTCTCATGCACGCCGGTGTCTCATTTGACACCGGGTTGTGTTGGGCAGACCACTTCTGTTCAATTTATGGGCATCGCTGGTGGTGGTGCGGCTGCTATTGCTGTGAACAAGGAGATCGACGCCCGGGCCCGGGGGGCGCCATTGCTAGACTAGATGCTCGTACATGAAGTCTGGCATTGACAGCGCTGCTTTGCAGGCCTTGCTGACTGACCCTGGATCACAAAAAAAGGACAGAAAGGCGTGATTACCTTGTTGTGAATGGTGAATTCTGCCAGGACGTCCAGCAATTCCAAAATGTTAGCTCTAGAGGTCGACAAGGGCAGCTGTCCTACGTTGTGCAGGGCCTGAATGGGCATTCATGCTTCCTTTGTGTCCCGCAGATCGTCGGATCAGTGCTTCGCACTCACGACATGCATTCTGCGTTCTCGCGCTCCACCTCCGTCTCTGACTTCTTTCGACGCGCATCGCTGTTCTGTGACTCGTATCATTGCACCCCGTGAATGAGCTTCGACTGTGAATCACAACAAGAGGGATTTGTTCGAAATGACCTCTGTTCGAAATCGAAAAGTCGGGTGCTGCAGCTGTCGCTAGACTGACAAACAGCCGTCCAACCAGATATACTGATATACTAGGGTTAATTACTGGAGCAAGCTCTCAAACATCCGATGATCACGATGTTGCAAAAGCGCTGGTCGAGAAGCATCGCAGCATCGAGCAGTTTCCTTTGCGTGGGGCATGCTTGCGAACCTTTCTCTGGCTAGGGAAGACAGTCTTCATTCGACCGAAATATCAGAAGAGGACAGGACCGTAGCCCAGAAGCTGCCACTGTCAGAATGCGGCCACTGAAGCAGCACTCTGTGTTATATGTCATATTATATGTCATGAACCTTCGTCATGCAAGTCCTCGCTGACTGTCCGCTCCGGATAGTTCGAGACTGCCAGGTTGGAAGTTAAGGAGGTGATCTGGCAGCCCTTGCCACGCATGGGATCCCAGAACCTCATTGCGGACAGTCTGAGCGCAGCACAAACAGGGAGCAAAACCAGCTTCGGAGCCATGCTAGACGATTGTACTGGGCCGACCACTCTTTGATGAGCCGGTCGCGAACGAGCTGCCTTCTATAACCAGCCATGATTGGCATCAGGACTGCTACACCGTGAGACGGATCCCACAACACATTCGCCTTCCGTAAACGCAAAACCACAAACACAAAAGCTCCAGACCCCCTTCCGTCTCGCCCAGACAGGCCTGGCGACGTTCTGATGTTCGATGTCCGCGCGCAGCTCGTCGCAGCGCTCCTCCGAATGAAGAGCTCGCAGACGCCTTTCCACCACTCCCAACAACATATAATATATGCATAAGTATATATTACGTGTGTATATATATATACACACGCACATGTACATGTAGGTACACCCCCTGCTAACATGTTCATATGCCGTTTATATACCGTATGCAAAAACGTATGCACATTGCTCACCCAACTGTTAACTAGTCCTGCCTGTCATCACGATCTCGTTATTGATCGCATGCAGTACATCAGCATCTACATCTACATGTGTGTATATGTATATACATACAATATACATATATACATGTAAAGATGTGTGTTTATATATGTATTTTGTAGTCACATACATAATACATACAAAGAAGCATTCCCAAAAAACTCTGTCAGTCTCCGTCCTTCGTCTTCGAGGCAATGGCAAAGCGCTCTTCGAAGTCGACACAGAACTCGCTGCGGTCCAGCCTTGGGAAAAGCAAGTGTGCATCTAAAGCATGTCCACGAAAAACTGCCCACAGTGTTGCCCTCTCGTGACCTGTAATCGGCCACTCGGTGTTCTCTCGGGTCTGGTGGGAGTTCTGCAGCACGCTCCGTTCACGAGTAGTCGCCCAACAACGCAACGACCCCGGCTGAAGCAGGCCGTAACCTACGTTCGCCACTCTGAAAGACTCCAAGTCGCAGGCTTTTCAAGATCTGGTGCGTTTGCGTTGTGGTCGACAAGGATTCGAAGCTTTTTGCGCAAAGCTTCTATCTGCAAGGGCGTGCAGAGCAAGGCGACGTTCAGTCATCAAGCAAAATCTAAATTAGCTAGCAGCACTTTCATAGAACAGTTTCTCTGAATGCAGACGGCTTACGAGTCAAAACCCTGCTTCTTTCACGAGGCATGTTCCTACCGGAAAATAGCTGCTGCATTGCCTCGTGCGCCATCAGCTTTCGTTTGGCAGTTGCCTCTTCCTGGAATGCGGCAACATGGTACTGTTCAGTAGGACTCATGACGGCCCGCTGAGTACGGGGCAGACAGCTCCACCTCCTGCCAAAGACGATTGAAGCATGATTCTGCATGATGTTCGCAGGCTCTGATTTCATGATATCCCAGAATACCCGGACTCCCGACAAACTCATCACCCAATACCACCCTGAAGCGTCAAAAATCGCCAGATCCCGTTCATGGCGCTTACAAGACTGTTTCGGTGGCCCCCTAACGTGGGCTCTCGCCAGAATTGAGACTGCCTCGTCATCTCCGGCAGCGGAGTCCCCGCCTTCTCATGCCAGCTAGAGAGCAGCTGAGGGAAAGGTGCAATTTCTCCGACGCCTGGCCTGCTGCAGGTGGTACCCACGCAGGGAATGCATTGACGTCTGTGTCATCCAACCTGGCACGCAGGACCCTAGAAATGGGCAATGCAATCGAGGATTGCAGCTGGCGACCTCAATCTGGTCTAACAGTTGCTAGGTATCTGAACCTAAGGCTATGTTCCACTTCCTGAACCCTGCAACTCAACATGATTCATAGTGTATTGATATTCGTCTGGGTCTTGCAAACGATTGCGGACACTGCCGGAATCAACAAACAATCACGATACAGCGAGATACAGCGAGTCAGGACACCCAAGTGGGCATGCCGGCATGGCTCGAAAGCAAAACCGCCAGGTGATGCATCGCCGAAGGCATCATCCTTACGACACAAGAGACACGAGGTGTCGCTGTGTCCAAGGGTGGCAAAGGCTGCGCAAGGGGACGCAGCAGGAATGTGCATGCCAGATGCGTCACAGAGGTAGAGCCCTTCAAAGTCCAAGCTCGGGGCTTCTTCAACATTCATGTGGGAGTCATCCTAAGCTGTGTAATCTCGCCTGCAAAGCATCGCACTGAATCGCAGGCAAGTCAGGATCGAGCCGGAGTCAGGGCGATGCCAGAGCCAGGATCGCTCCATACGATGATGCCATCCTTGGCATATTGAATCTTGAAACTGCCGTGCACAAACTTCAGATCCAACAAAGAAAGCATCTCACTGTACCACCAGATGTCATCGCCACTGTGCCTTAGCTGCAGAAGTTGCGGGCAATGCTCGCAAGACTCCCGCCCGCGTCGAGGCATGCACCGTCACGACTGCATGCCGCCTCCAAGTGCCGACGACACAAGTGCATGGGCCATGCGTGCCTCACGGTGTGCCTGCGCTGTCCCCCCATTGTAAGGGTTGTGGAGAGTCTTGCTGAGAAGCTCATTGCCCTGCAGCCACAGCTCTGCGAAAAGAGAACTTTCAGATTCGACGAAGAGTCAACCGAGGGCTCCGCCTCGGGTAGACCTAGCATTTCCGGCTGGAAGACTTCAGACGCATGCCAGCTTGCACAATCACGCCAACGACTGCTTCTAAGAAGTGTTTTCTCTGTCTAAGCTGACCAAGGTCCCAGCTATGCCAAAAGTATGCCCCCCGCTTTTTCTTGGTTGCTTGGGTTTAGCGCAGGTTTGTGCTTGGCCACTCCGCTTGCTCTGCACGAACAGATCAGAACACAGACGCTCCGCAACTCCTGGCCTGAGTGGTGGCGATATGGGATATGGGTCGCGTGATTCGCGCTAGCAGGGCTGTTGTCTGGAGGGCACTTACGGCTCAAGAGTTCAAGCTTGGAGGTTGTACTGTATCGTACTATGGCATCTGTTGTTCCCACACAAAAGAAACTGGCCTGGAACCACCTCTGGAAGCGGTTACGGTTACGGGAGCGCGCGCGTCATGGGCCCACACGCCTGGCTTTGTCGTACTCTGCCACGACCTGTCTATGCTGAACTTCCCGGAAGCTGATTCGTCAAGTCGCAGCTGGGCCGCGACACGTCACGTTAGGAAGGCGCGCGCGCTTGATCCAACGTCAACCAACAGGTGCAAACACGGCGCCAGCGCGATAACTCCTATCATCGTTCCGTCGCAACATGCCCCATCAAAGAATGATGCCTTGCTCCTGCGCTTAGCTGCCAACCAATCTTGACCACGGTCCCATCCTTTGTGACACCGTCGGTACTGACACTCAGGGTGGAGGGTGGCCAGGGCTGCGACCATTGAACCAACTGTCAGGATGGTTGCGCTGGCGTTTGGCCTCAACAACTGTGCATCTGTGGCCTTGACCGTCCAGCAGGCAACCCCGGCAGCACTAGGCCACAAGCTGAAGGCATGAAATGAGATGATGGACGCCAGGCTGCAAAAGACCTTCAGTCAAGTCAGGTCACTCGCTTTGACCACACCAGCTGAGAAATCCGAGGCAAAAGGCTTTTGACAGGCGCTGCCGGCGCTGCTTTGACAATCAACCCAGGATGGGTTGGCCTGAATTACGTCCCAGACTTCGCCTCTACTTGCAGGGCTCAAGGCGAAAAGGCTTCTAAGAGCAGCGCACTGCAAAAATCTTGACCTCGCAGGAAAGGCGGCTCGACTACTAGTAGCACACGCCCCATGCAAGCTCAGGGTCGGGCTGCACCGTTTGCGAAGCCTACGCCTACCTCGTTCCTGTCACAACACGTTTGGGTTGGTGCTGCGACAGATGGCATCCACTTGCATCGACAAGAGGGTGCATGTGGCGCACTTTGACAACGAACATACTGCAGTTGGCCGCCCCTCGGCCAGCCCAGTGTCGGACGTCAGCTTTGTTGACCAAGGCTGGCATGCCTTGGCAATGTCGATGGAAACACTCAGCATCCCTTCAGTAACTTCAGTGAAGAATTTGAATCTAAAATTTAGGGTCTGCAACACGTAGGCACGGCACGCACACAGACAGACACAAACATATATATATATATAAACATACATACATATATACATACATACATACATACATACATACATACATACATACATACATACTTACTTACATACTTACTTACTTACGTACTTACATAATTACATACATACATACATACATACATACATACATACATACATACATAGATACATATATATATATATATATGTATATACACATATACACACACAATCACACATACGAAAACAAATCAAACAAACAGTTGGCTGCTTTGTGCTGACTCGATGGTCTATCGGGGATCTACCGACAGCTGTACGCGGGAAGTCGGCAGAAATGCGAAGGGCCAAAGTGAAATGTACTGAACCAGTGTCGGCTGGCTGATCAGCTGCGGGTACCACCCCACAGCTACATTTTCGCAAGGAAGTTCCCTCAGCCCACGCGCCCGCCTCCCGGGGAATTGTCAGGTCTCGCGGCTCGAAACCTTCCTTGAGCCTGGCAAAATGCGCGGACAACTTTGCACGATGCCTGCATTGTGCTTCTGTGTCCGGCATGCTTCCGAAGCCGGGAGAGTTAGCCATGTCTCAAGCTTGGCAGCGCCACGATCTGATCGCCCACAAGCAAGAGACCTTTCAGGAGAAGTCAGATTCCAGGCACAGCCTTGCCAAGGACAGCCAGGAGCTTTTAGCTGAGCTTGAGACGGAATCCGTGTTGTAGCCTACAGCCAGGAGTTTCCCAGGCGTGTTCATGTCTTCGGTCTTGTCCTGTGCGGAAACTGCAAAGGAACTGTGTACTTCATCCTTCTTCAACCTTCCCCAGTAGCCCTTGCGGCTCGCATAGTCCCTGTGTCACTGCCGGCTGCGCCCACGAGGCCCGAGTCGACACGGCACACGGCACGAAGCGATCTATCTCTTCACACTCAAATACGACATTTCACAGTTGTGCTTGTAGCAGCGCTATGATGCTG